TGGAAGTCAAAAACATTTTTGAAGCGACTAATCATCCATGATCCATGGTAGTAGAGAATGCTATTTTTTATATTCCCTCTATATTATCTGTTTTCCGTCTGTGATTATTTCTTTTGTTTTTAAAGTTGAATGATTTATTACTTCGACAAATCGTTGCACCGATGTTATTTTATCCTTTCAAGAGTCAACATCACCTGAGTTTGAATCTTTTTTTCTAGTTCATCAGCAAGTCGTACCCTACGTTATGCAATCAAGTGAAAGTTTCTGACTGGGAGCTGAGATCGAAATATCTCAAGGCAACATTCAAGTGATATAATCAATGTCGTAAAGCAGCTAACATAGCCGGATTAAAATGCTACACATTCCATCTTTTATCTGTGCAGTGAAAGCAATGTTCTGAATATTACACTCGATTTGAGACATTAGCAAACCGGTTGTGGTTTAGCACATACTAACATGAGATAGGCAATAGGAGGTGAGGCCAATCCTCGGCTATGCGCAAAAAGTCGTGCTTTCTAAGCCAGTTTCCACCGCGGGACTACGCTTGCCACACCTAAATAATCGACCAGAGAAATTCTAAAGCAATTCACTTCTCGTGAAAGTGTTGCTTTCGGAAGATCATTGTTTTGATTTCACACTTCGCAAATCAAAATTTATATCCTTGATGAATTGGGTAATCAAAAAAATTTAAATTTTCAGCCGTTTGTCTGTTATTGTCATAATCTTCAAGAATAACTGAAATTAAATTGTTTACAAAGTAGTGGAGCTAGATTAGGGTTTGTTGGAACTTGGCAAATTTTATTGAGAACATGTAAGATTTCAGAAACACTTTAATTTGTGCTGCTTATTGGATTTCGATTTGATTCGCGATTCATTTTATTAGAAATCAAGCGTTAGTATCACCAACGAATTAAGATGATATATTAAAGATATAAATGTTCTAACACTATTAACATTCTCTCGTCAGTTAACCTGGGTGACTCTTTGTAGTTAAAGGTTGGCATCCTAATGTATCTCTGTGTTATTTTTTCGTATTATATTAAATTTTGCTCAGTTAATATTGCATCATTTCAAAATCGGGTTCAGAAAACCTGTCCTTGTAAACATACCCCCAAACTTGCTTTGAATACTCTGCGCCCGAATTTCGGGGTGTTGCTAAGCTTGTTGGTCGGTCTCTGTCAAATCATGGTGAATGTATTTCCAGAAATCCGACAAGTTGACATGTTTTGAATGTCGTAGATAATTTCTCAATTTCCGTATTCCATCAACGAAAAACATTTCGTTTTAAAATGAGACTTACATTACTTAGAGCGTCTGCTCATCGTTATGGCTTTGACGATGAACAATGCTTCTAAAATCGAACACAGCGACGGCCCCGACGATGGTTCGCTTCATTAAGGCTCCATTGAAGCAGAAATCTTGTTTACCAGTCGTGTGTGATTCAATTAGACATTTGTGTGCGGTGATCCTTAAAGCGGTTCAGTGGGAAGATAATATAGTGTTGTGGCTCTCAACTGCAACGAAAACACGTTGCTTGTGTTGCAGTGTGGGCTCGTTGGAGCAAAAAAGGTGTAGGCTTTAGGTAGGCTCTCTCGCATAGTTACATAGCTGCATGGCGAGATGTGTGGAGGGTTTCTAAGCGAACCAGGAAAACTTCGAGCTATTCGTGGTCCCAGTATTAAAACTTCTTCTAATGCATGCAATTGTAGTTATATTTATTTTTAAATAGTTGTATTACAACTTGATAATACTTTACTTAATAATTTGAAATATTCCTGGCTAGAGTCTTATTATTCGCATGAATGTTCTGATACACAAATATTTTCCGAGCTGAAGTACTCGACGGCTTTGCCGAATGTGAGCTGAATATCATTTTGTCATGCTCGGTTGCCAAGGTCAGCTGTAGCTATGCCTGTTCTAGTGTTCTACATCTATGTGCGCATAGAATAATTTAAAAGTGTATATCATGCAATGCTGTTAGCTTAAAATATTTAGCAACATTTTTAGATGTACTTTTTAGTTGGTTACTCCCATGGTTCTATTATACTATGATTTCAGCGGTTCAGTGTGAAAATACCTAATCTTGTTCTCGAAACTTGGAATATTATAAATAACTTTAAAATATAATAGCGTGTGACAAATGATCCACATATATTAAAATATTTCTACGCAATTCCAAGATCATGCAACTGGTATAGAACTAATATTCAACTAATTCGTTACTTGCTTCGACTTGCTACGATAACTTCTGATCTGCCGATGAAATATCTTGGTGGCAATCGGAAAGAAACTGTTGGACAACTGATACTCTAGTTTCGAAGTCAATAAATATGCGTCATATATAATGAATAAAGCAATTGGTTACCAGAAGTTCTTACAATTTCTTCCTCCTGTTTGTGCAATATCGCTGCAATATCTCCACCAACATTTATCGATCCAATTCAAAATCTAATTAATTGAATTGGAATTGAATCTATAGCTTAAAGTTTGCCTCTGATTCTGCTGTGATGTATTATTTGTTCATTTCTTGAACTGCCGTAGATATTCATGAGCTCAGAGAGACTGCATTAAATAATTCTTTTTATTAAGATCATAATTGTACACAAAATCACATACGAGTTATTGTTTTCAGTTAATGAAAGTGCTGGCTTACTGAATTTTTGTAGCTGTTGATTTTTAGGCCTTTTATTATTGGGTAATTGGTTTTTAACGTTATCGCTAAAATGAGAATGTGTTGAATTAAAAAATATCGTATGTATGAAATTGCATAGCAGCCAACCTATTTGGATGTGTCGATAGCGCAGTTGAAATCATGACCATGAAATCGAACAAAATTAAATTCCTGCATTTTCCGGCCTGCTCGATTACGGTGAGTTACTTTTTTTATTTTATTTTTTAGATCATATTTCTTAGATTTTAATTATATATAATATCATTCTACAGCATGTGACTTTCAGTTTTGTTTCATGGGCTTTCAGTTTTGTTTCATGGGCTTTCAGTTTTGTTTCATGCGGCTTCATGAATGTACAATTTAATGTAAAGATGCTTGTTTTGATTTTCAACTTTTGCAAGGGCCAATTAACAGGAAAGACTGTTATTTCTCTCTCACAGGTTCCAAGTACTTCGCTGTATAAACATGGTTAAAAAAGCTTATATCAGACCCCCGACTAATAAACCGTTATTTGAATGAATAAATTATGAACTTAGAATCAAGTGTTCTATTAGTGGAACTTTTATTCTAATGGAATTATTTTTAAAACTTGAATACTCGTCTCACTTTGATTTTAGCAGTTGATGCTTGTTCATTAGTGATTTTCCTCACGTTTTGAGACTGTTGAGGATTTGAGACTGTTGAGTATTTGAGACTTTTGAGTATTTGAGACTGTTGAGGATTTGAGACTGTTGAGGATTTGAGACTGTTGAGTATTTGAGACTGTTGAGTATTTGAGACTGTTGATGATTTGAGACTGTTGAGTATTTGACTGTTGGGTATTTGAGACTGTTGACGATTTGAGACTGTTGAGGATTTGAGACTGTTGAGGATTTGAGACTGTTGAGGATTTGAGACTGTTGATTAATTAATGTGTCTTTCTTTGAGGGCGCTCGCCATACAGCTGCCCTCTTCTGAATTGTTAAGCCTGGCTCACTCTTCAATGTCACACGTATGCTAGGCCCTGATCGTAACGGCCTATCATGTCTACGTGCCTACCGCTCTGTAACTGGAAATTCCCCGAGCTTCACAACTCAGCTTCTTAATTGATTGAAATCTACGCTATGGCAACGATAAATGAGTTAATTCGAGCTTTTTTATTGTTTTTTTACTGTTAGCGTAAAATTCGATCGTAAACTTATTCAACATATTATAATCGATCCTGTTACATTTCAAGGCATACTGATCTTTTATAGCTTGACAGGCTTAGAGATTGATGAATGGTGTATATGAAATCCATTTAACGACACTTATTGTAACTTATCAAAATCTATTTTGCGGTGCCTCTCACATAAATAGTGAGCGCCTGAAGCACTCATTAAAAGAAGAAACGGTGAAAATGGGAAGTCACCATCGTTTTTTTCTTTTCAAGTGTTTTTTTTTATTTCACACAAACATGCGTAATAAAAAATCTCCGATCGGTAACTGGATATTTAGGAAAGATGGTCTACTCCTCCCGGAAGACTGAATTATCAAAAATAAATAATTATAAAGTCATAACCCCGTGAAACATTCAATAGCACTTAAGTTGCTAGCTAAGTCCACCATTGACAATATGACCTTTAACGTACGAAAATGCGGCTCAAATTGCTGATTGTTTGTTATGTTTTATTCCACATGGACAATAGTGCGCCGTCTTGAACATTTTTTCAATCATACGTGCGATTTTTCCTCATCCTTAATTACTTTTTCAAGCAAAGGCAATAGTATTTATTCTTTTAAGAGTTACATCTCTCACAAGCTAATCAACAAAAATGCTCTCTAACGCCACCGACTGCCTTAGGAAATTGTTATTGATTCTTGACGGTCGTACAGGTGTGTGTGTGTTTATTGGCCATCCTTGTAGTGGCCAAAATGGGGCCTTGATGGCCCCATTTTTGATAGATCGTTTAGATGTTTTCTTTCTATCGCTCATGTGTTGTTGGGAAGTGAGTGGGTTATGGATGGTCCCATTTTTGATGGAACGTTCGGGTGTTTTTGATGGTTCAGGTGTTGTTGGGAAGTGAGTGGGTAATGAATGGCCCCATTTTTGATAGATCGTCTAAATGTTTTTTTTTATCGCTCATGTGTTGTTGGGAAGTGAGAGGGTTATGGATGGCCCCATTTTTGATGAAACTTCAACTGTTTCTGATGGTTCAGGCGTTGTTGGGAAGTGAGTGGTAATGGATTGATCGTCTTTTGATAGATCGTCTAAATGTTTTTTTTTTATCTCTCATGTGTTGTTGGGAAGTGAGTGGGTTATTGATGGTCCCATTTTTTATGGAACATTTAGAAGTTTTTGATGGTTCAGGTGTTGTGGACAGCGCTGAGTCTTGCTCTGGGCGTGGAGGTGCAGGGCGAGATCGTGCGTGGACTGCCGTGCATCAAGCGTCTAAACCAGCTCTTCTGCCGCAACGCCGGCACCTCTTATCCTTCGTTAGTAGCGCCCTTTGTTTGTAATACCTACATTGTATTTAAAATACGTTAACTGAAATAGATAAAATTTTGTGCCATATTCCTGAATTTTTGTTGTCCCCTGTAGCTAATTTTTGTTGAACTCCATAAGGTCTTCTTTCAATTCATTCTGTATGGATTTATGTGGTCTGGGCTTTTTTATTCCTCTGGTTCTTCTTATGTTTCAGTTGACCTTGATTCTACAGGATGATTAACTTCCATCCTGTTCGAGGAACTTATACTTCGTAACCAAAACTTTTACGTTGTCACTTTTAGTGGCAAAAATTTAACGTTCAAAGTTATTTTTCGAGTAAGTGAATATACTATCAATCGTCTTTTCTCCTCGCAAAAAGTCCGCAGTCACATTTTGCGTCAATTAGGAGTTTTTTCAATTCATATAAAATATTACGGGAGCATAAATTCAGACTCCTGATTACGTTCCTATAATATAACCTACGTCTAATCACGATTTTCTCTCAATTTTCTCATCCAGCGAAAACATTGAAAGTTTCATCGATGAGAACAAAGCCCTCACTCGCAGGATGTACGGTGACTTCCAGAGCGAATTGGGACTGGGCGAGGTCAGTTTCATGTATAAGAAAATTCAATTTATTCAGTCGCATCCTCATGATTCACCGTTTTTGCTTGAACATAATAACAATGGAATTAGTCTTATGTGCAATCACACTTTGAATTTTTAATTAAGTGACTTGTCAGATTTTCAAAGCCACTTACGTAATTTTGTACGCGATAAATTTATCGAACTAATTGTGCAGCGACGGATAAACTGAGAATCCCCGTCTTGTTACCCCGTCTTGTTATTAATTTCGATAATTTTTCAGATCGTTGAGAGTGCTATTCGATCCTTCCGCATGGGAAGGTCTGTCGGGGACGAACCTTTACCGGCTCCACAAAACTCCACTGGCATCTTCGCTAGTAACTTGAACGACATTCTACTGAACCTCGAAGAGAATATTGAAGATTTTCCTGGAGCTGACACCATCTCGACGTACCTGGGTCCTGGTTTCTACAGCACCTTCTATGACGAGGTCGTCAACAGGACACGTCGTCAGGCAGCTCCTGCAGGAGGCAATAGAAGACCTAGTGTACCTAGTGTTCCTAACCCTCCCACCAGCACATCTAACAGCAACAGGTGGGCTTTTTTTCGTCAGTACAGTCGAAATATCTCGGTGGGTTTTATTTCGTCGGTACAGTCGAAATATCTCGGTGGGCTTTATTTCGTCGGTACTTTCTTGGTAGTTTGTTTATGAGCTTCCTTCTCTGGTACCTACAGTTTTATTTGTGATCTCCTATTTCTTAGAGTTCATTGATAGTATTTTTCTCATTAAATCATATTCGTTGCATTCGTTTTCTTCATAGACAAATTGACTATTTGAAATGAAGCTACAAAATTTCTGGAAAAGCATTCTGTATTAAAATAGTTTAGTGTTAATACTAAAAAATGGCTCTTTGTCCAGAAAAATAGGAAATTGAAAATTGAATCCCCATGAAAATAACTCCTTTCTGGCTCTAACGAAGGATTTTCAGCGTATTAATCGATTTTATTTGTTTTATTCTGCAGACTTGACTCTTGTTTTACAGACTAGACTCGAAATTGTTTTATTTGACTTTCAAGACTCAAAATTTTCTTATATGACTTGACTCAAAATTGTTTTATTTGATTTTACTTTTTGCTAACTTGACTCAACATTTTTTTATTTGACTTGACTTTTTTGCAGACTTGACTCAAAATTGTTTGGTTTGACATGATTTTTTTACAGACTTGACTCAAAATTGTTTTATTTTATCGACTTGACTCGAAATTGTTTTATTATGCAGACTTGACTCGTGCAACAGCAAGATGGAGATCGTCACCCCCTACTGGGCCAGCAACTCTGCTGGCAAGATCCTCGCCATCGTCAACCTCAGCGAGTTTTCTCAAGTCATCCACCAGGAAGTTTGCACGTGAGATGTGATTTAGTTAGAGCAAATTAAGGAGAATATATGAATTGTGGTGTCTTTTTTTTCGTAGCCTCACCCTCTGTTCTAATTTCCATTTCTTTATAGTAAGCCTCTATGCTGTTGATAATTTTTTATTAATGCGCAAAGTATGTGGAATTATTCTGTTTTAAAATTATGAAAAATGTAATAAAAAATATTGTTTTGCTAAAACACAAGGGATTTACGTTTATAATTTTCAATTAATGTGAAATAATATTACGTAAGTGAGCACTTTCAGCTAGATACTTATTTCCGTAAATTTTTGGAATTAATGAGTACAAGATGATGATTCTTAATTCGATAGTACGCATCGCATTCCTTGTAAAGAAATTTAAACTTTATGGAATTCTTATAAATAATTCGTATAGGTATCCGATTTAGTAGTGTATGTGAAACAAAATCTTACAAGACATCAAATTTATTTAAATTTCTACCACTTTTTTATATTTTTCTATTTCACGACCATTTCTGAATACTTTCTAAGAAAAATTTATTCCTTGCATTTTCTGAATACTTTGAATTTTTATCTCTTGCTTGTAACTCGATAAGTTATCTCCGTACAGGAGATCGTCAACGAAGCGTTGCAACGGCGACTGCGGTTGCGAGCAGAAGTACAAGTGGCATCGAATGCTCGCCTATGATCTGGAGAACGAGTGCAAAGGCATCTTTGTCGACTGGTTCTTATTCCCGTCTTGCTGCGTTTGTCGATGTGACCCTTAGAATCCCTGACGTCTTGACCCTTAGAATTCCTGGCGTCTTGACCCTTAGAATCCCTGGCGTCTTGACCCTTAGAATCCCTGGCGTCTTGACCCTTAGAATACTTGGCGTTTTGACCCTTAGAATCCCTGACGTCTTGACCCTTAGAATCCCTGACGTCTTGACCCTTAGAATCCCTGACGTCTTGACCCTTAGTATCCCTGGCGTCTTGACCCTTAGAATCCCTGGCGTCTTGACCCTTAGAATACTTGGCGTTTTGACCCTTAGAATCCCTGGCGTCTTTACCCTTTAACCCCTTCTTTCTTGCCCCTTAGAATCACTGGCGTCTTGACCCTTAGAATCCCTGGCGTCTTGACCCTTAGAACCCCTTCTGTCTTGACCCTTAGAATCCCTGGCGTCTTGACCCTTAGAATCCCTTACGACTCGACCCTTAGAATGCCTGACGTCTTGACCCTTAGAATACCTGGCGTTTTGACCCTTAGAATCCCTGGCGTCTTGACCCTTAGAACCCCTTCTGTCTTGACCCTTAGAATCCCTGGCGTCTTGACCCTTAGAATCTCTTACGACTCGACCCTTAGAATCCCTTACGACTCGACCCATAGAATGCCTGACGTCTTGACCCTTAGAATACCTGACGTCTTAACCGTTGTGTCTCTATCCTCGCCCCGCTGACAGTTTCAATTTTAATGAAAAAATTGTCTATTGATAAGTTAACCATTATAATGATGTTCGGATCTGGTAACTAGAGTTACCATCTGCAGACAACGTATAATAAGTAATAACGCATAAAATTTCCAATATTAGGTAGGTACTCTTTACATTGGATTTTAATTGAATACTTAAGCCATAAGAGTTAATAATTGTTAAAATTTATTATATTTTCATGACATTGAGACGAATTCACATTTGCCGAATAGAATTCATAGTGAACATTAGTATGTAGTTTTTCTTTTTAAATTGTTAATTCCAATTTGCCAAAAATTGAGCGACTATAAACTTACAATTACGAAATGGAATAGACTTCAGATTTCTTGTGCCTAATTTTTTAAAACTTTCTGCTCTATAAGTAACGGTTGCTTTTTGAGGTTTCTGATCACTTGTGTAGTGTTTTCCTTTTGTCATTCATTCAACGCATCGAATAATGCTTCTTTAAGTTGAGGTTCAAAGACTAATTTGTATCGAAATGATCTATGCAACTTGTTCACTTCTATGTGATTGAAAGCAGTTCATAAGTTTATGGTTATCACTGATTTTCATTCTTTAATGAGATTGGGTCTTATTTCTTGAGATTTAAATAGAAATTTAGATGTGACTCAGATTAAATCGTTTTTATTGTGATCTAGAGAAAATTCTATGAATTCCAGTTAAATATGATTAAACTTCCACGTTATTTACAGAGAATTACTTATCAAAATTAGCAAAGTTATTTTAATGTAGCTTTAGAATCGATTTAATTGCGAGTTACCTACTAGGGTATTACCTACTTGACACTAGTTATTTTATGTTGCTTCTTCTGACAATGCGTGTGGGTGTTTATCAGGTATATAACTTTTTATTTACTTAGAAGTTCCCAAAAATATTTGTATCTTTTCAATGTTGGTGTAACGAGTGCTGAATTCATTATTTGAAATTTCTGATCAATGTGTAGTTATTGGAATGATTCGTTGAAAATTCATAAAGATTGTGCAGAGTGTAAAAAGCTTGTTCTATTAATAATTGAAAGCAATAGAAAAATTCTATTAACTCGTTGTCTACCAACAAGTTACCATAGATTTAAGTTAAAATTAGTTTATTCACTTTCAACGAGGAAGGTATTGATAAATCAAGCGTACTGTAAATAACGATCAAAGCTACAGTATATCCCCATATAGGTATACACTGACTTCACTTGAAAGTCTCACAAGCACATGAAGAACAATCTTGTAGGACAACATTAGCAACATAGTGATTCGCCAGATTTGATAACGTATAATTTTTTTAATTTTTTTATTTTTGTGACTGATGAAAGCATTGCATCAATGTGACTTGTTGAATAAAAGAAAACTTTCCATGTGCATATATATAAGAATTTAGACGACGGTGGTAGGTTGTCTGAATTGTCTACTAATTAAGTAAGATGTTATAGGCCTGCGCGGACACCATTGAGTGAGGAACAATGTTACCGTTTTTATGATTGTTTCAACAGTAGAATTGGTCACTGGTTAATTTTTTGTTGTTCAAACTTCAAAATCTGTAATTTACTTGCCGGAGACCTATGAATATATACGCTGTGTATTTTTTACTCTTATACAATAAAGGGACTAAATTGAAACTTTAACGTGTACTCATATTGAACCTTGAAATTGCACTCGTGTAAAAAAATCAACGGCGCTTATCATTTGGCTTCAGTATATATTACCTCGAACGCCTTTCGAGCTTTGTGAATAACATTTGGAAAGTTTACATTACATTATACCATCTAAAAATCATCACTTGCGCGCTTGACACTAATATTTCAATTGAAATATGGTACGTGAGTAATGTGTATTGCTCATGAGGGTCTGTATTGGTCATGCAGGTCATAATTTCACCGCTTGCGGTCATTTTCTTAACTTGGTTATTAACTTGTATGTCATTACCTTCCCTGCTATTTTCCCAAGCTGGACCTCATTTGTTGATGCCTCAGCACGAATCTATTTTTCACTCTACCTCACAATCAATTTTATTTTGGATTCTGATTCTTCGAACAGTTCACTAATGTGTGATCTTGCTCGTTCACTCCATTTCTAATCCGTAACCGTATGTCGCAAAATTTTTCATTCAGATCTATCAATTGTTCTCTGAATCATTCCAACACTCTGATGCATTTTCATTCGTGTGTATACTAGGTTTAAACTTGAGTCTTCTTGGTCGTTCATGACAGATATCGTTCATATTATCGCAAAATAGCGTTTTCTAATGTTCACTGAATTTTTTTATCCTGATACATATCCAACAGCCTTCCGATCAATGAAGGCTGCAATTTAAAATAGGCAATTCAGGCCGACTTCCCACGGAAAATATTTTTTTTTCAATGGGATATCGAGATTTCCCTTGGAAACGTAACGTTTTGATGTGTGAAATAAATTAGCTGTTACTGATGTCAAGATCATTTGTGGTCACGCTTTTTTTTTTGTCAAATTGGAGCAGTAACAGGGATTATATTTTTACTTTACCTATGAATATTAGAGAAGTTCTCTATTCGAGTGTGGTACGTACGTGAGTTAGTAAGCATTGCCATTTACGCGATCGATTTCCTGAAAATTTTGCTAATGTATTGAGAGTATTATTTAGAATTTTGGATTGCAGGAGCGACAATTCCTGCGAGTGCCGAGTGCCTTGGGGGGGGGGGGAATCCTTGTCACAGTAGATACTAATATCAAGAAGACAGAGAATTGCAAAAATAAATAATTTACTTACAGTATGTAGTACAAAAGAAAATAATTCGATTGACATAAATGAAAGCCGCCAATGAACGCTATACTTATATACTGGCTACTACGTTCAGACGCATGCACATCTTCAATGATAGTTTGTCAACGACTTGTCAATGAATACAGATAAGACTAACATTGGGTATCATCACCCATTGTTCTAATTGCCCCGCGAATCAATGAATTTAGTACGTCGCTCGCTATAAAACATTTCAACTTGCCCTCGCTTTTATCTAAATAACGCATTTTATTTATCTTTAACTAATAATCTAATTTACTGCTGCCTCTCTTAAGCTCGGGGTCGTACCATTACAATATAACAGATAATTGATTAAACATAATAATAGTTAAGACGCATCTGGTCAATAGCGATTACATTTATAATTTTAAAAACACGTCCCGGAATTCGTACTGGAATCGCATGAGCTGAAAGAAGCATTTAGCTTTCACGCTCTAATTGGTCTAATGATTGACGAGCTGCGTCGGTCGGAATTGGCATACGCTTGCGACTGTTCAAAAGTGATGGGAAATCTGTTAAATCTGTTGAGGCCGGACGCTTGTGAGCTCTCAAGGATACCAGATGCCGGACGAGCAGGCCTTTGACCATACAATGATGAAGGCTGTCCATATGCCGTGGGCCGAGAAAGGGCTGATGGAGACCGGTCGCGTCCAGCGTTCGACTGATAATAATGTGGGTTCTCCTCGCCCGCGTTCCTATTGCGGTCCTCCTGCAAGAGGTTCCAGTCGAAAATCTCTGCGTCGGACTCACTTGCCAGGGCTCCCATGCGGCCGCGGCCTTCCTGATAATTGACGCGGGTGTCGCCGCTGAGGTCCACAGCCACTGTACCAGGCAGTTTATGAGCCTCGACAGAATCCTCGGAGTCATCGGTCACGGAAATGTCGTTTGAGATTTGGGCGTCGGAGGCAAAGGCGGATTCGTTTGCGCGCTTTTGTGCGTGGTCCATAGCGGCGGAGTGGCTCAGCAACCAAGAAAGGATCCAACGTCGAGGTCGGACGAGAAATGCCTCGCTCTGGAAATGGAGGAATAACTATTACAAAAAAATTAAATAGCTGAATAGATAAACAAATTGTCTAAACTTTCACAGTAATTAAATTAAACCAAAACACACTCGAGGAGCTCATAGTGCTTGAAATTACATCCTCAAACAAGCATCATTTTATCCAAGCACTGCCGACTGCACGTCGAGCTGAGCGACGAGCGTGGGGGTTCACCTACGCATTAGGGGCCCTCTTATTGCCTGTGCCTCATCTGTAGCGGCAGGGCACCACAGACGTGATAACTGCTGCCTATTCTAGAAATATCGCTGCAAGATATATTCCGTTGTTGTATCAGACGATTAGATACTGCTGAAAATAAGTATGCAGGGCACCACAGACTTAGTAACTGCTGCAAATTCTAGAAATATAGCTGCAAAATATATTCCTTTGGTGCATCGGACGAAAAGATACTGCTGCAAATATACATCATTTTACGAGAACGACAGATGGGAATGGCCGAAATCCCCCTTTCAGTTATTTCAAAACGCTTTCATTTAAAGATTGGAGCATGAATTAATTTATTCGTGTCAGCTCGGTTCGAACTTTAATGTTCGAAGAGTGGAGAATGAATTTTATTTGCCACAATGCAAAGGGCTCGTATTTTATTTGAAAGTCGTACGTGTAATTCTCACCTTATGGGCTGCCGAATCCGAGATTGTCGCCACAATATTTGCGTCTGCACTCGGAACAGGTCCTGCATAAAAAAATTTAGATTAGACTTAATTCGTAGTGTCGAACAAACGGTTTCTGCCTCCGAAAATTTAGATAATGCTAAATTGTGGTTATTTAGGAACGATCATCAGATATCAGGTCATATGTTAATGTTAGGTCCAAAGACACTTTAGTAATTAAATGCTTTTAACTCTATACAAATCGCTGGTCAGTTACGCTTCGAGTGTCATTATTTTTCACCTCTAAATGGATACTTATAATTATTAATTATAAGTGGTTCCAAATTAACTTTCTAAACTCCTTCGCAGAAGAAAGGCCTGAAACTCTGCAACACATCAGAAGGACGCACGATCTCGGGACCCACATATAAAAAAAAACACATCTAGATCCGAAACTTGATCCAAGTTCAAATTTCCCCTGATGAGATGGCAGTAACCCCTTAAGTTAGTTTCGTTACATCATAATTGAATAATTCTAAGAATGGCAGCACATATATTCAAGATTGATCCATCTTGGTAACTTGCTTCGTTTTAAAATATTGCTAGAGTATTATCCATAAGAGAATTCTTGTTCCGATCAACTATAACACGTGTAGTTATGCGCCTCTATATGTATATTATCTTCTGAATTACACATTGTCTGATCACATCATGAATATCCCAAGTAGGGCGCGTTCGCAGAACACTTTGATATGTTCCCTTAGATGGAGGGCACTGAGTGACCTTGCAACCTAACTCTCTACAGATGCTCTGTGCTAGCCTGACCAAGCGCATCCTGAGGAAATCCCACACACGGAAGAATATCATCAAACACTAACACCCGCTTCAGAATGAATCACAACAACCATTCATCTAATCGTAAAACCTAGCTGAAGCTATCGATCAACCAAAAACGACGGATATCAGGTCCAAGAAATTATAGGATAAATAATAGGTAATCTTGCTTTCACGGACTGACGTAGTCATATTTCAGCTGTATTTACAATAAATTCTCGTAATTGGAAATTCGATAGCTCACCAAATTACAAAACATAAACAAAATATTGAAACGTAAACAAAATATTTGTAACACTTTAAGGGCAGCTGTGCAGAAAACAAGTGACATTCAGAAACGAACATATTCGCGCGCCGGCACAATCGTTTCACTGTCACGCGTTTCATGAGCCATCGTAGAAAGCGTCAGATTAACCAAAGAACAGTCCAGCATATTAGTACTGAAAGCGATTCAATTTTATACTGCTTAATTAAATTAGTAGAACTACAGTTTGCAATTATTAATGCACGTCTTCTACCTTCGTTAAAATAGTTAAATTCAACTGATGATGCGTTGTTATAATTAGTATTTAGCACTGCTGCACTGGCCTGTTTCACGCGAGTCCTAAGAGCGTCAGTAATTTTACATGACCAGTACGTCTATTTTACATGAATACAATGATAGATTCTGATATTATGACCATATGTCTCGTGATAAATCCCTTGTATCTGTAAGGTTGTCAAAAACTCCCCACTCATCGATTGCTGCTAGGTAGTCAACCCTTGCGAGAAAGTCACACAGAACAAACTTCGAAACCAACTTATCCTAAATGTTGTCGGGAATGTTAGTCATGCAAATGAGAACTATTAAAATCTATGCATTTTAGCACCTAAGTTAAGGCTCAAGACAAGATTGACTTTTATCTAACTATCGACGGTGAATAAAGTGCTTACCTGCACGAACGGCTGAGATAACCGATACAGCAAGGACAATACGTAGGAGTTTCATTGTTAGTGATGCGCAAAACTGATTAAAGAATTGTGAATATGATCAGAAACAACAACGGGTCGGATCACAACGAATTTAATTGTGCAGTAGCAAGTTTACTTCAACAGTATCAGCAGCTGTGAACTCGACTGACATGGTTTGTCTGGGCGCCGCAATATATACCAGTTAGGTATGAAAATGTGAAGCTGCCAGACGTCGCTATACAGTTACCATGGATCTTCCACAATCGCATGGTAAACAAATTTTAAATAGGTCATAGAGAACATATCGCGAATATGATTTTGATGAAGATTTATTATGCATTTACCATTTTTTCATAATTTTCGTACAATCAGTCTATTTCACTATAATTAACAAAATAAATTACAGTTTTTAACATCTTATTCGTGTTTCCGGTAGGAATAGTTATAGCTATGTATACCGGGCATTGTAGTATATATGAAACTGACGTCATTGATCTACCTACTTGAGCTTAGTGCGTTTTTAGAGTCTACACTCTACACAGTGGGCAATAAAAGGAATAAAAATATAACATAAGTAGTGAGGACGATAGTTTTTTTTTGCAACCTGTTTTTCTTTAGACCACGGTAGAGCTCGAGATCGTTCAGTTCTTCTGGAAAAATGAACATTATTATTTTAACACTTGAGCATGTATAGTCTTAAACTTGCAAATCATTTAACCGTATACTTTCAAAGAGGCTTGGCTAGCACCCCATATTTATTAGTTATTTATTTCGATGTCATCTTCGTTGTGAGAGTTGAAGCAATATCGTGAGAATTGCACACAAGTGCCAGTATGTGAGCGACTCGTTATCGTAACATTTGGTTGAGAAACGTCCTGTTAGTTTGACGAGCTTTCGCCATTGCGTCTGAAGTTGAACTTCGGGGTCTGAGAAGTTCATGTTTGTGCATGCAATCTGAAGTGTAGAACCACGGCCCAAATTTTTCGTTTAAAATGTAAGTAGAAATACTGACGTGAATTTCATAATGAATGCTTCAGACTTTTTATCCATAAGAAATTTATCTTCCACCCATTACATAAGGACTTTCTGAGGAAATAATTGATAATTGAAAGTATGAGTACATAGATTTTTTATTGCTTTCCAAAACAAGCATCAATTTCGTCACACAACCTCGGCCATCAAAGATCTTTAACGCAATCAGGATGAATTCCACAGCTTCAGCCTTCGCATACCATAAGCCGGAAGCTTCCTGAGTTTTTATTAATAATTTCTACATAAGGAGAGAGAATCAGATTTCATCTGAATTGTCTGCAGTTATCAGGAGAATTGTTGCCTCTACTCCTTTGCAAAGATAATAATTTTGAGTACCTAAAATTTACTTTCGCCTGAGGCCTTTCTTAATTAGGGCTTGTTAATGAAAGGCGGATTTACAGTGCACATTCCGATACTTTTAAAATTGTTTGTCATACTTTATTCCGAGGAAATAGTTGCGGAAGTGAACAAAGGCTATAGCAAACAATTATTTTTCTCTAGTGCACTACAATAATAGATATACCAATTAGTGTCAGTATTAACAAATATAAACAAAATAAAACTAATTTAAGAACTTTCGGCAGGCATTTCATTTCTTCTTTGGTTTATTCAGTAGCTGTTTCGCACTGATTATATACTTTGATTCTGCGGGTTGTTTTAGTTCCATTGGAAGCAGAGTTAAACAGTGAAGAAACACGAAAAGTCAATTTTCTAATTGGTAAAGAAAAAAAACAATTTGTGAAAAATACCAAGAAGTTCGGGCATCCTCTACTCAGTCGGACTTACCGCCAGCTGAAGGCTTTCCTGGCCGACGCCAGGAAGGCCTTCAATGTTATTAACAAAATCTTTTCGTGTCTGAACGTGACGTATAACAATAGATGAACGAAAAATATTTGCAAAAGTCTGTATGTGCACCAAGTTAGGTCATTGACTTTTCATATAAATTGAAGATCGTACAAAATAATTTAGGCCAAAATTTTTAGTAAAAAGTTCGTTCCTCATACGTCGTTATAATGAAGTGTATCAAACTTGTTGAAATCTTTAACCTTGCCACACACGACCATGCTGGCTATTCTCGAAAAATGTTCAAGCTCTCTGTTGCAGCAAATCAATTACTGTGAATTGAAATGCTACAGCATTGCCCTTCTGCGACTTATGAAGTTATGATGCATCCACCAGTCGAACAGCGTGTGGATCATACCTCAATTTCATTTCTCAAAGACCGGGTGCAATTCGAGCTAAGTAATCAAAACGCATAAATAATACGAGTTGAGTAATCATATCGCGTGAATAATACGAGTTAAGCAATCAAAACGCATAAATAATACAAGTTAAGTAATCAGAGCGCGTGAATAATACGAGCTAAGCAATCAAAACTCGTAAATAATACGAGTCAAGTAATCAAAACGCGTAAATAGGACGAGCCAAGTAATCAAACACGTGAATACGAGCTAAGTAATTAAAACGCGTAAATAATACGAGCTAAGTAATCAAAACGCGTGAATAATATGAGCTAAGTAATTAAAACGCGTAAATAATACGAGCTGAGTATTCAAAACGCGTGAATAATCCGAGCTACATAATCGAAACACGTAGAATAGAAGTGTCGGCATTGAAGAAATAGGCCCAATATGCCACGTGAATAATACGAGCTGTATAGATAATCAAAACGCCTGAATAATACGAGCTAAGTAATTAAAACGCGTGAGTAATACGAGCTAAGTAATCACAACGCGGGAATAATACGAGCTAAATAGATAATCAAAACGCCTGAATAATAATAGCTAAGTAATTAATACGCGTGAGTAATACAAGCTGATTAATCAAAACGCGTGAATAATACGACGCTGTGTTTGGTCGGCGTCATCGCCGCGCCCCCGCGTCCGTAGGAGACCCCAACACGTCACTGTTCGCACTGACGTCTCAGACACGTCATCGGCGGAGGTGACGACGGATTAGGTTATTGCTGACTGTGTTGTTGCGCTTAGCTGACCACTGCTTCGCGCTTACTCATATTACTGCACAAAATGTGAACACCTGTATATAATAAATTAAAAATTACGTTATTCTCCTTGCGCCTTCTGTTTGTGGTTATTGCATGGGCCATGAAAATCACGAAAACCATGCTCATAGGACATAGATGAACAACTATAAACTCCGAAAAAAAGAATCAAATCAATCAAAAATTGTTGTGAGTTTTTGAAGCTGCACATTGCCAGTTTTACTACAAGACTACATAGAGGTGTGTTAGTATGTTGAAGCAGCCATACAATTTTTTCATAATTTTTAATCTTTACACTCAGAGTGATCGCCAAAATAGTCAGTCCAAGGTATTCAACCATGAGTCAGTCCTTCTAAAACACGTGAAGAATAATTTAATAAAAAGAAGTAAATCTTAATAATATAAACTTTATTAAAAACAACCTTATCGTAAACCTAATAGTAAAATTAGCTGGGAAATAACCCCTAGCCTCCTTGTTCTATCAACCGTTGTTCGCTCACGAGTTCTATTCTGAGAATCACATGCGATGGGGCACTGAAGTACACAACCGCATCGCGAGTCCGGTCGCCACCCACGCCTGCGTGCCGCAAGAGGGCGTTGCTACAATAATCATCTGCAGACCCAATCCTTGGGGCATCGTGCTCATATTTGTCATGTAGGATACACGAGGACCTAAAATATAGGTAATGCATCATGCTCATGTTCGTCATGTAGGATACGAAGGCGTTATGCGATATATTCATATTCTCAATAATGGCTACAAGCGTCTTACTGTTAGTTTTGTAAGCGGTAAACGCAAAGATTTAAAAATTGGTGATGTATCGTGTTTGCATTCGTCCAGTATCAGGCGTAAAGACCTAAAACCTCAGAGAGGATGTATTTTTCGTGACTATTCTTGGCGTCGCACAAAATTAAAGTCACAATGAAACATCGCCATTATGGTTGTAAACTCGAAACATTCTTTTCTCTGTTGAGTAAGGATTAGTATATTGAATTATTCATTGAATTAAGTAACTTTAACTCATCTCTACTGACACTTTTCACTAAAGTGTGCGCGTCAACGAATTTTCTAGCTGACGGTCGCCGCGTCACATAAAATTGGAAGCTGCGGCGTGAGAGCATCCTCTCTGCCTGCCTTCCGTAGCCTGAAACATTCTGTTGTCATAAAAGAAACTCGAGTGGTGTCCGTGAGAACTACTGGCAGAGATCAAATCATCACCCATATATGGCCAAACGAGTCATTATAGACAAGTTGCCGAGCATATTTATTTATGGTCGTCATGCGGTCCTCAAGTTTCACCAGCAAAGCAAGTTCTGAAATTACTGGCAATACCGATAGAGGTTTGGTAAAAGGTATAATCATTGACACACTTGAAAAATAAAATAGTAGGATTTACTATCAAGGTAGCACAAATTAGCTGTAGTTGTATAACCTTACTGCAGTCGCTTAATCTACGATATTTTCATTAATAAATGCGTAATGGGTATAGTTGGAAAAAATCTAATATCTGAGCCGTGAAACTAATGAGAATGACGCGCTTCACTAGAACATTTCCTGCCGATTATGGAGCAGCGCCTCATTAGGCTGTACCGAGCTTGGTTTAGAATAGTAGTGCTCATTTTACACAGGATACGTTTATAACCTACGGGAAGACACATAATTTGGCACTGATTAAAACACGCTGCCTGTTTTCTTTCTAAGAATGATCAATGTTTACAACGTTGAGGGATATAATTTTTTTAACATTTTGTTCACATTTTGATACTTATCTTTAATTTTAAGACATAATAGGCATAGTTTGAAGGAAAGCGGTAAAAAAAATTGTAATGTATCGCTGAAGGAATTATTGCAAATTTCTCCGTCATTTCATCTTCTATTGAAACGTAAAAACGCAATAATTACGCAATTAACCAGCTTACTAGCCACTAATTCGGAACGCATCAACTCGAATTAGTTTCAAATTTCTTGCGATTCTGTTCTGAATTGAGGGACTTATGATCCGTTCACAGTGTTGAGTTACCGAATGTGTTGAGTTACTTCTCCGAACTCGACTGCGAACTCGCTTGCGGACGCACAACCCATGCATGGTTGTATTAATTCAACCATGGCACAACCTAACTCTCCGCAAAGCCGAATCACTCCTACCTCCTCCAATACTGAACGGATATGAATAACTTCAGATTTCAGTCACGCAATAAGTACAGATTTTTTCATTACTTCATTTTAAATTAAACTGAAAAAAAATCAATTTTCATACAACCGAACCATTCATAACTCCATCAAAACTGAACGGATCTGCTTGAAATTTGTAATATAAGTAGTTATTGCCAATGCACTGTGTATGATATAATTAAAGTTTTTTCATTACTTCGTTTGCAATGACCACGAAAAAACGAGATTTTCAGGCAACCAAACCACTCACAACTCCTTCAATACTGAATTGATCTGCATCAAATTTCGAATATATGTGTGTATCACCAATGCCCTGCGATAGAAAAAATATAACTCAGTAATCACTTCAGTGAGTGACAGAGAGCGCATTTTCTCTTCGACGAAAACTTGAGGTCACGGACGGACGGACAGACGGACGGACAGACAGACAGACAGAAGGACATGGCGAGCACAATAGTGCATTTTTTCCATAAATGAGAAAATGCACTAAAAATACAGCACATATAGCTATCATTATTCCAAATTTGAAGCACATCTGTTCAGTATTGAAGGAGTTATGAGTGGTTCGGTTTCCTAAAAGGGTCGCATGCCAAAGACCACCACTGCCCTGGATGTAATGGACCATCATGATTCATGCCTTCCGGAAGTATCATATCTAGGCCGTGCGTCGAACCAGCCCTCGGTCGAACGGCCACTCGTCGAAATAGGACGATAAATTTTGGAACAGAACTATGCTATCTGAAACCTAACCTCAGATGCGGTGAACGTAAAATTACGTAATTTAACGATGCCTGGAAGTCATATTCGATCCGCGGCCTGGTGGTGCACGGCAGGTTTTATGAAAGGTCGGAGGTGGACAAAGCCGTGTGGTTCACGGCTGATTGGTGGATGTCCGGAGAGATCCAAGGCGTTCGATTCAGGGCTTATTGGTGCGCAAAATAGGTGGTGCACGGCTGCGCTCCCTCCTAAAATGACGTTATTTCGTTTCGGTTATTGAGTCGCGCAAAAGTTGAGTTCCAGCGTTCCAACGCCAGGGGCCACGACCATACAGGGGCCACGACAGAAAAACTGCGTTGCAACTATTCCATGCGACAATATTTCTTCTCGCTTTGAGTCCCTGTCAAGTGGAAGGAACAACCTCCCCGGTTACATCGTTGACGCCCCGAGGGCAGCGCAGCCGTGGGTAACAAAATTGACTCGTAAACAGGCCCTGGGCCCAGCGCCAACCCATCAGCATGCAATATATACACATAGCCTCAGATCAATGAGCTGTGGGTAACTCCGGCTAACAGTAAATCCGCTTTGCACAACACAGCCACTGCTTCACAGCGCCGGAGCACAACTGGCCGGAGCGCAACAGGCCCTACCGCAACAGGCGGCGCAGGTTAGGTTAGGTTAGGTTAAGTTACGCTAGGAGTAGCTGTTGCGGTAGGACCTGTTACACTCCGGCCAGTTGTGCTCCGGCCTGTATGCGCTCCGGCCTGTGACTGAAAGGCGCTGTTGTGGTGGGCGCTTTGTATCAAAAGCCCTGAAGATGCCCGGCTGCGTTACGCTCGGGAAGGTATATGAATCGCACTGTGGACTTGGGCTATGCTGACCTATAGCTATCCACCCGCTCCGAGTATAAACGCGTTCAGGAACAGACTAGATAAAGCTGTGGGAAAATATATGTTCAGACTTAAAATGCCGACCACCATATCGAGCCCGGTGAGAGTCTAGTAGCTACTTCAAACTATCGTCAGTCATGAAAAGATCCGGTCAAAGGACATGCTCTTAGATCTTCTGTGAACAAGTCACAAAAAGTACAAGAATCGGCGGCAGGCCACACTATGTTAAAATAACGTAAAAATCTGTTATAATAAATGCGATACAATTCTCATTTAAAAAATCTATCAGTTTTATGAGACGAATCTGCACGCTCCAACCGATTTAACTCGCTTTTAATGTATCATTAGAATTTATTTTACAACAAAAAAGTACAATAATCACCTGACACTCATAATGAAGGAACTATGAACACGAGAGTGACTTCGTAAATTTTCTTACATAGTTTGTACTGATCTCCGCCATATTGTTCTCAGGCTGTTGAGGTTAACTCGTAGGCGCTGAAAATCAGCAAGTTCTCAAGGCGTTATCGCCTTTTGGTCTTATTTAGGGCATTTTTTCCCGACATTTTAATAATGAATGCGCTACAGTCTTATTCTAGCGATGAAAATTCAGGAGATGAGTGTTTCGACCAGAAAGCGGTAAGAAACGAGTCTACGGCTGTAATGCCTTTAACTTAAAGTTTAACTGAGAAGTGGGCAGCTACCGACTACCGAGTAGGTATAGCTAGCTAGGTAGCCTACATAAGCTGACCATGAAGTTCTAGTACAGAACTTAACAGAAGTTAACTAGTTTACTACATTATGATTATGGCCTATGGGCAAAAATGATTGACTTGATTTTAATTTTTTGAAAATTACGGGTGAAAATAGGCAGTTTTTCTCATTTTTCACCAAAGGAATTGGCTAAAAAAGCAAAGAAAAAGATAATGGGCATTGGGCACTTTTGTCTGATTCGTACTAAATTTCATGGGCTTCCTCTGCTGAATTTTCCATTTTGATCTGTAGCCTACTGTGGCCAGTGTGGAATTCTGTATAGGTAATATATTCTCATGTCAATTTAAGAAAACGTATCAAAATACCAACCCTACCACCGTGTTACACCACCTTCCACTGCAATGAAAATTTATAAACTGAGCTCATTGGAAACTACATAGGGTGCTTCCGAAATAGTGCGTGGTTTGAAATCCAATCCCGTGTTGCCAACGACTAATCAAGTTAACTAGTCGTTTATCTGTAGGCTTGCGGACATAGTGGCAAACCAGTGAATTTTTTAGAATCAGCTTATTTTTAATTTCCTCATTTACTCCAGATTTTAACAGATTTCTTATGTATGATAATTCTGGTATCCAAGATACTTTACTGGTCTACTTATAGGACTCAAAAATGAACTTGAGGAAGTGTCTAAAAAACTCTCTGCTTTGCCACTATGCTTGCGGACACATTATTGCAATGAATACGTTCTAAAATAAAAAAAAACACATCCAGCTTCATAAAAAATTCTCACGATTGGACAACACCCACAAAGTTTTCGATTTTACACAAAATTATGAGATAAACTTCCACTCTTTCACTGCTTACATTCACATGGCGTTTTCTGTTTACTTCTCACAAGACGGTGTCACAGACTTATGTTTTGGTTGTGTCTAGTTTGATTTCACAATAAATAGACTTGATTCAAATTCCATTCTGAGATTTAAATGATTGAAAGTTTTTTTTAAATTATAAAAACCTTATTTATACGTTCCAGATTTGAATTTTTTGCCCTGTTATGTTGAATTTATCTTGATAAATTGACTTCAAATTCTGAATGATTTTTATAGAAACTGAGCAAGTTAGCGTGCGTGTTTTAAGCCTTTAAGAAGTTCATTTTTGCCTCAAATAACGATGTTGGATAGAAGAAGTGGTCTTGGTGGATCGAAATAATATATGAACCTCTGAAATTAGAATTCCATCCTGCTACACTCTGACTCAGTACAGGTACCATCACTAATGTTTAAAATTTAAATTACTACTTAGTTCAGTTAGTTGCAAGTTGCAACTGCAGAGTGAGTAGGCTAAGCTAAGGCTACTGCCTACTGCTCTTTACTTCTTCATTTTGTTGGTCATCACTCATCACAATCAGTAACTACTAACTACTGACTACTGAGTACTGAGTACAGTAAAACTAATAAATTCAGTATGGAATTCTGTATAGGTAGGGTAAACGCGGTATATTCCGACATCATAGGTAATTCTGTCACCTCTCCAGCTTTTCCTTTATATTAAGCTTTGTTTTAGTTCCATGCATTCATTGATGGTTGAAATGGTGACGTCATACATTTGCATGTCAAAATACTGCGAAAACACTAGTTCTCAGGATGGAATTCTAAAATTTACAGTTCATATATTATTTTCACTACACCTAGACCAGTTTTTCGATACAACATTATTTGAGGCAAAAAAATAAACTTCTTATAGGCTTAAACACGTATAGGTAAAGGTATAAAAAGTTTCTATAAAGTAACAGGGTGGAATTGTAGAAATGGAAGTTCACTTATAAAATAGCTTTCCACCCAAGGTGGACTGCTTTCCTTAGATACAGTGCTCTGCCAAGTGCCAGGTGACTGACTATAAATGAAAAGGAGAATCAAAAGTGGACAAACTGTTTCAATTGTACAGTACCTCAGATTTGTTGTAAAATTGTTTGATAGATATTTTCTATTTTTCTTTTATTTAATGGATTTTTTTAAAATTATCCAGGCTTTTTGTTTGTAATGGTCAAGTTTAAGTTGAGTATTTAGTTAACCAGTACTGTAGACATATACCATATTTGGGGGCGGGGCTTATGGGCACAACCAATCACAGCTTGAAAGCATCCCCATCAACCAATCACAGCTAGAAAGCAGATAACATTACAATTCCATTAACCAATCACTGCTGGAAGGCCTCCCTATCAACCAATCACAGCTAGAAAGCAGATAACATTACAATTCCATTAACAAATCACAGCTGGAAAGCTGGAAGGGGCTAAAATCACAATCCCATTAACCAATCACAGCTGGAAAGTGATAGGTTATGTATATGATATGAAATATGATGGACTGAAAGAGGAAAGTTCCTGGCCTTTCCAAGCTTTCAGGTCCTGCTTTCCAATATGCTATGTGTACTGGTTAATTTAATATCCCTCTAGAATTCCACACTGTTAAAAGTAATCACTTAACTTGGAAATGTTGCGTGTCTGCAGCTGCAGGGCAGCTTGCACTCAACAATTAAAATTATAAAAAGTACTAGTTCGTTGAAGATTTGTCTCTTAATGTGACAGCAAAGAACTTTTCCATGATGCACACAATAAACACGCAATTCATGGGACTGATGGGAGCAAGACTACATAGAACAACGAAAGTAAGCTCCCGGCATGCAACTGACAGAAACGAATGACGATCGCGGATGCGGCAGCACAAGGCATAACGTTCATATGCTCAATGCAAGAGATGATATTTATGTATTTATGATATTTTAATTAGAGGTTTAATTATGATATTTTTGATAGAGGTTTGAAATATTTTCGGAAGCCTAAAACGTGAACAAATTATTTTGTTACTCTGACATGGTTGATTTCAAAATAAATATTTTAATGCAAATTCATGAGAAGCAATTAAAATATATTGAATGATGTTCATTTATATCTATAGGTGGAAGTAAACAATTACGAATCGATTTATTATCCTTTAGATAAGAATCTTTGCATTGAAACATCTTTATGATGTGTCTACCACAATATTTGTACAATAGTATGGGTATCAGTCAAGAACTGAATCGACACTTTTGCGGACTCGCCT